ATTCTGAAAATGCATCAAAACGTTGAAAATTGTGTTTACTGCATGGCATTAAATATCAAAGCCTGAAATAACAGTCAAATTTGGTTGAAGTGGAACGGCAGAAGAAAAAAGTGTTCGTTGTGGCAAGAATATGCATTGACTCCTAATACCTCTGATGGTAAACCGAAAATTTTTTATTGTAGCAGAAATGTTGTTGAAGCGGAATTCGTTGTAGGGAGATATGACTGTACACGGAAAGAATTGCAAGAAATGAAGTAGGTGGAGCAGCACAAGCCCCTTAGCGCCACAATGCAATTATTTGACCTCTGCATGTGCAGTGCGCTCACCCAAGTTATCGTAGGCGTGAGTTATGCGTTTGATACATCTTTCAAGCAAGTTATCCGACCTGCTTTTTCCTGCGTGTTATGGTTTTCAAAGTTGCCTTCCCGCTGTATGCTTCTCTCTCTTCACTCTCCCGCAACTCCTTTGCCCATATTCGCCACTTTGTGACGGCAGTCACTCTGGCTCGCACTAAATTTTTTTTTTCTGGCTATAAACCGGCCCAGAGCTGTTTCACGCGTCCTGGCCTGTATGTCGTGTACACATGTTGCTCGTTGTTGGTGTGCATGTGTGGTCATGATGGCAAATGGGAGGCCTTTTGGGCCTTTTCCTGCCAGTAAACACAACGTAGAAAGTGCAATCGCTTGTCTTGGGCATAATCCACGTGTTTAGGACTTCCTATAGGGGTTGCGGTGTGGAGCGATTGCTCATAGCTGTTGCCCACCTGGCATCCAGCTTGCCACTTCGACTGTCCCAGTATTCAGCTGTGAAGATGGTGAAGGCTTCGTGGGTGGAGGTAACGGCAACATGTGTATGAAACTGTTTTCGCAAGGCTGACTTCGGCGCCGTTGGAGCTTATACCAAGCCAGAAGCTTCCGAACAGGACCACTTCGGCGATGATTTGTGGCAGCGCGTCATTGACTCCACAGGAGGGCGGGACATTTTCTGGGGTGATTTAATTGTGGCCGATTAAGATGAGGACACTGAGCTCTTTGATTTACCTGTCCCAGACAGTTCCGGATGACCCAGATGCCGGCATCACATTAGTGTTTTTTATAGGACCTACCGGAAGCTCCACTCACTCGTACGGAATAGCTCGGACGCATTTTTGTTTTTCGTATGCCTGTGGGCGGGCCGGAACTGTCCGAACAATTTTGTTCGGGCATCTGGCAGACGACGGCGTGGTGCGCGTGGCTGTGCTGCCATCTTAAATTACACACTGGAATTTTTCGATGCACTTTTGCTTTCTCTTCGCTTTTTGTCCACATATCGTACATTTATGGATTCTGGATTTCACATTGTTCACGCTCCCAGTTCTTGTCGTTGATATTCTGAGCCATGTCAAGCGTTTGCGTATTTCTGAAGGTCGGGCAAATAAGCACGATACTCGCCAGGAGAAACAGCGCCTGAACAACCATGCGGGTCTACGATGCATGTTTGCTCTAGTAGTTCACTTACAGTAAGTTTCATCAAAACGAAAATAGGCATTATTCACTGTCTAACTGCTGGTTGAAGTTGGAACTGGTTCGGTGTTGTGGCCTGTGTCGCAGCTATGGACGGAGCAGACGGCATAGTAGACGCCACAGTGGACACAGAGAGCATCAAGCACGCAGATGGCCCAAGGTCGCTTAAACTGGCTCGGGACTTTTGCATCACATGCATATGACGTAGCTGCCTATGAGTCGACACATCCACGGGCTGCCGGCGAGTGGTCCGAGACTTGGTGAAACGGTGAAGCTCACTGCGAAATCGTGCGCGGATGAGGACATTGTGAATGATGTGTGCTGCAAGAGAGACTTGGAGGAACTGGATGATAGCGATGACTAAATTTTGCAGCAAGTGCCCACAAGCGTGCCTGTAGCAATTGGCTCCATTAATAGCCTCAGACAGTTTGTATATGCCAAGGGCCTTGGCACAGAGCACGCACCCCCTTTAAATAAACTCGAAGCTACTCTAGTCGTTTCTGCTGTTCAAGACTGGCATTACGGACATTTTTGTGAAAAAGTGAAAAATTGTGTTATCACTTGCTACTCTTTTAAAGCTTAGTTTCATTTTCTACAGTCGACTCCTATTAAATGAAGATCATAGGAACCGAAAAAAACTTCGGATTAAGCAAACTTTCTATTAAGGAAAATGCACCAGAACCTGCATATTTATTGCTTCAATCCTGACAGCTCTCTAAGCAATACACATGTCGAAGTGCTTATTCAGCACTGCTTTCTTTAACAAAACATAAAAACCACAGCGCGAGAGCAAGACCTGCGAGTGCTCGGTGGCGGTACAGTGTACTAGTGGCGGTTCGTTTCTATGTCGCCGTCGTCCACTAGCCGAACCATCTGCACAGTTTTTCTGTTTGTTAGTGAACCGCATGTATCAACGTTGCTGTCCACGGCAACAAATTTTCCAAAGCGGCTGTCGATAAGAATGGCCTCAAAAATATTGTCGTTGAGTTGACTTGTTCGCCCTTAAAATTCGAGAACTTTTGCACTTGAAACAGTTTCCACTGTATGCACTTGAAATTAGGCTTAACGCTGTACTTTCGTGTGATGTTTGCTGGGTGGTGCCTCCTTGGTCAACCCTTAAAAAATTTTGGTCTAGTGGCTAAAGTACTCGGCTGCTGACCCGAATGTTGCGGAATCGAATCCCGGCTGCGGCGGTTGCATTTTTGATGGAGGTGAAAATGCTGTAGGCCCTCAAGGTGAGATTTGGGTGCACGCTGAAGAACCCCAAGTGGTCGAAATTTCTGGAGCCCTCAAGTACGGTGTCTCTCATAATCACATGATGGTTTGGGATGTTGAACCTTAGATATCAATGAATCAATCTTTCAAGACTTCCAACTTTTATTTCCAGGTCAATCGTTTGGGAGGTGATATGCCCGGGGAAGGGTTGAGGCTGCCACCCAGGATCTGGCGAAGGACGACTCTTGCGACGCGTCTCACGAACAAGTAGATGCGTTTAATTTACATATTGGCAAGAGAAGTACATTGCAGCAAGAGCGTACTGACGCGCCTTTCCATCACAAGGGCCCAGAGCGCACTCGAGACGAGTGGGCCAGCGAAGTCCAGAGAGAGAGAGAGAGAGCTCCGACCGCACACGCGACGCGCTTTTTATACCCCTCGTCCGTGCACGTGAATCTTCTCAGACACAGGCTGTGTGTCCCAGCGATGCTGATGTGCGTTTCCTTGCGGCGCACACAAATGCCTCACGCGTTTCTGCAGGACGTGGACAGCGTTTGACCGTTACGCCGATGAGCGTCCCTTGCAAGCCACCTCCTTGCTGTGCCGGTCATAACAGCCCGTCCGCCGCCCGAAGAGGTCACGGAAGGGCTGCAGTGGCGCTGCTCCCTGAAGTGGCCGTTGTGCTTCTTCTCGGGTGTTTCACTGATTGTCAACCACTACCCATACACGCACACCACACAGCACAGCACACCTTTGCATAGCACAGCACAAAGCAGATCGCCCAAAGCAGTACAAAGCAGTGTCTGCATGACGGCTGATATTTATACTGAATCAAATGCCTTCTCGTAATCTATGAAGGCTATATAGTGGTTGGTTATACTCTGAGCATTTCTCTATTACCTGATTGATAGTATGGATGTGGTCAACTGTTGAGTAGCCTGTTCGAAATCCTGCTTGTTCCTTTGGTTGATTGAATTCCAATGTTTTCTTAACTCTGTTAGCAATTACCTTTGTAAATAGCTTGTATACTACAGAGAGCAAGCTGATCGGCCTTTAATTCTTCAAGTCCTTGTCATCTGCTTTCTTATGTATTAAGAGGATGTTTACATTCTTCAAAGATTCTGGTATTCTTCCCATCAGGAGACACTTCGTAAACAGGGTGGCTAGTTTTTCTATCACAATCTGTCCTCCATCTTTGAGCAGATCTGATGTTACCTGATCCTCACTAGCAGCTTTGCCTCATTGCATGCTCTCCTAGGCTTTTCTGACTTCTTCTGTCATTACTGGTGGGATGCTGTCTGGGTTATTGCTAGTTCTTATACTAAGGTCGTGGTTGTCCTGGCTACTATATTGCCAATCTACATCAGTGCCAATATTACATCAGTGCCAATATTACATCAGTTATGGCACACATCGTTTTATGCCATACTGAGTGCTACATTACTATGTCTTCTTTGGTGCGAAATTTGTTTCTGCATTTACCTTTTTTATTTTTTTCGTGTTCTGTGTAAATATTTCTGTTTTGCACATAACCCTGTTGTATTGTAACTACCCCCCTATGTAATGCCCAAATGGGCCTTTAGGGTATATGAATAAATAGAATAAATACTGTACAGGTATTTGTAAAGCTCCTTTACTCTTTCAACTATCCTATTCATATTGGTAGTTTCTTTGCCTTCCTTCTCCCTTAGTGCATACATCAGGTTTTTGTCTATCTCAAGTTTCTTCTTCACTGCTTTGACGCTTCCTCCATTCTTCAGAGCGTGTTCATGGCATTATAACCTACCTTGAACTTATCAGTGTCGTCTTTTCATACATACAATTTTATATACACCATTTAATACACACCTGCCTATGTCTTCCAATGCTCAACTGTCCACAGAATGCGAAGTCAATGTTTATTTCAGTGCACAGCCATTCTTTTGTCTGAGGCATTTTGTCTGAACTGTCATTCAGCCTACCTTATGCATTAATTGTTCGTGAATTGTAGTTGTCGTCCCTTTATCTACATTTCTTGCATTGTGTTGTATTTTACCTGTTTGTCCAGACTTTTTGTGATTATCTTTTGCCTCTTTTTCTTTCTTCTTATTTTGAATGCTTTATTGTATTACATAACATCAATAATTTCTTATGGGTAGAAGGACCTTGTGGTATTTCTTGGGCACATTAAATAAACAATCAATTTATTTGTCATTATTATTAGTAGTATCATTATTGTGTACACAGGTATTTCTTCAACAGAGTTTTTTTTATGGCTAAGGCTCTTTATTGCTCTTGTTCTAGGTACGTGCACAGGCGTTGTTCTCAGGAGCAGACCGTCCCCTAGGCAGTGACACACTCGAGTATGCCTGGCTGGTAGAACTTCAAGCAGGAGACCTTACCGGACGGCTCACTGCTCCTCAGGTGGGGGGGGAGGGCATTTTTGGGGCATGAAGGCCAGCTAATGACAAATCATTCATTTATGAAATGGGCATAGAATGATAACATTCATGTTAGTAAGGAAAATGTGATGCTTAATTTTAGTCATGCTTGTTTGGTGCCGAAAGACTTGAAACACATGGAGACTGAACACATCATCATGTTAAGAACACGTGGAAAGTTATTGGTAGCTTTTAAAATATCACCAGCTGAACCTAATAAATAACTAGTAACGGGATGCCATGAATATGTCAAGTGGTGGTAGAAGAGAAGAAGATGAGGAAGAAACGAAAGAAAAGAACAATATTACTATAAAAGAAATTAGAAAAAAAGAAGACGAACAACAGAAAAGGGGGCACGAGCGACGACAAGGTTGAGACAGGCGGAGGTGCAGGTGCTTGGAATGCAGACGTGCGCCGATGAGAGGTCGGAGCAGCAAAGCGTTTGCTGGAATGCCACGAGCACAGCTCCTAGAAAGAACGTGCCCCAGCTTTCGCAGCAACGTCCTGTGAGCTGCGGGGCGCAGCCAGGAGTTCAAAGAGCTCGGCCTAGGGATTGCAACCCCGTTGTCATGCGCCAAATGGCCTGCAGCAATGCTCTGTAGGCGGCACACCAAGAAGGACAAGCAGTACAGCTGCTGCGGGAACCTGACACTGCGGTGACCAGACTTCGTAGGGACCCGACGGTACAGCTTACGGCCTGGACCATTGACGCAACGAGCTTCGCAAATGGGGGACGAGCTGTATGACTCGACACCAGAGCCAAGTCAAAGCAACGTCCCATAGACTCTGTAAATACGGCTCTCTAGTCTTGTGTGTGTGTGTGTGTGTATATATATATATATATATATATATATATATATATATATATATATATATATATATATATATATATATATATATATATATATATATATATTGCCACGTTCTATTTTTCAAGTTTTGTTATCGCCCCAAAACACTACACAATTCTCAGCACAAAACGCGCATGCAGTTTTCGAGAAGCTTTTGGACTTTAGTAGATCATTTCGATAAGATCACGCCCACTCTGCGAACTGTACAGATTATTCTGGAACCTACGCCACCGCCAGCGATAACGCTAGAAGATTCGATGGAAAAGAGTATAAAGGCCGACGCACTTCGCCGCTTATGAGTAGTTGATCGACGGCCGATGCTCCGTTCACTGCTATCTGTGCAAGACTGCTACTGAAATCGGACTTTCCGTTCGCCGGGCACAGGTTCGCCCAAATAAACTGTTAAATCCCAACACAAAGTATCCTGTCTTTGGCCACGTCATGACCCTTTGACAATATATATACAGTCAAGCCCACTTATAACGACGCCACTTAGAACGAACTTTGACTTAAAACGAACAATATTCGTGTGACCGTGAAACTATACATTGGTTCAATGGCAGAAAATCGCTCTTACAATGAACGTCTCCGAGCTCCACCGATCAGTTACAGCGAACGGAGTCTGCGCTCGGCCGACTTCCAGAGAAGCCACTTTCAAGCACCGCTCAGGCATCGGCGAGGTGCCCATAGATTCTTATTGTTAAACGCCGACTTTGCCTCCACGCCCCTCTAGTTGCCACTCTTTCTACCGCTTTTTTACGCACCCCTCCGTCACGGAGGGGTGTGTGTTTTAACACTGCCACCGATCTTTCAAAGACTGGTCGGCCATATCCTCTGTTTTTGATTGCTGCTACTGTCGTTGGCGTCGCCGGCCTGGAGTGACAAGACCATTTGCTGACATCGTCAACCACCGACTGTATCCGATCGTCTGCGTCTTGTCTTATTGTATCATTCTAGTGCACGCGCGTGCGCTCCCCTACTGACTCTGATATTTTGTGATTCGTTTCGTGTTTAGGACCTGTTCTCGCTCACTTCACATTCAGCTGAGTATGCCCTCCGCACGCTTGTGGAAGCGTAAAAGTGTCTGTTAATTAGCGCAGGACAAATCGCAAAGTATCAAAGTCGGTGAAGCCATGCAAAATCGCTGGCGCAACAAAACAATTCTTTGACCATGGCCGCCAATGCCTTGAACACCGCCGCGCGCGCAGGCACTCCCTCAAGTTTCTCTACGCGCGAATTGCCTATTTCGTAGACCTTTCAAGCAAGCTATCTAGCCTAACCTGCCTCCTTCCTGTGTGTTTTGGTTTTCAAGGTCGCCTTCCCGCCATATCCTTTCCTCTCTTCACCCTATTGCAACTCCTTGCCCTTCTCTTGCAAACCTTCTCTCCTCTCTAGATAACAACTCCTTTGCCCGTATCCACCGCTCTGCGACGCCAGCCACGCTGGCCAAGCCACAGAACACCTACCAGTTGCCAAGCTGGCTCGAATTCAGAAGTTTCGTTGTCAGACTACAAATGAGCCCAGAGCTGTACCACGCATTCTGGCATGTGTGTCGCATGTGTGCGTCTTGCTCGCTCTTGGTCTGCGCCTGTGTGGTCAGGATGGCGGACGGGAGGCCTTGCACGCTTTTTTTTTCTGCTCAACAAAACATCAAAAGTGGGACCGCTTGGCTAAGGTACCGCGTTGTGGAGCACTTGCTCACAGCTGTTGACCACCTGGCAGCCAACTTGCTGCTTCGGGTGTCCCGGTATTCAGCTGTGGAGATGGTGAATATTTTGAGGGCGGGTTGACGGCTACATACGCTCGAAACTGTTCTCGCGAGGCCGACTTCGTCGGCGTCAGGCCCGATGCCGAGCCTGAAGCTTCCGAACAGGACCACTGTGGCGGTGATTTGTCGCAGCGCGTCGTCGACTCCAACCTGGGAGAGTGTGTGGGATATCTGTTGTGATGGTTTCATTATGGCCGATGATGATGCTGACACTGCAAAACCGTGCAGGCATTAGGGCATTGTGAATGAAGTACGCGGCAAGAGCGATTTGAAGGAATCGGATTGCGAGAACGGCGAAACTTTTGAGCCAGTGCCTCATGCAGCTTATGCCACGAGCCTTGGCGAAGAGCACGCTGCCATTTCAAATAAACTCGGGACCGCCCTATCACTTCTGCTCTTCGAAATACGCGTGTCACAGACATTTTTGGGCATGAAGCTTGTGTTTTCACTCGCAACTTCTTTGAAAGCTGTCTTTTACTTACTACGAACTTCAACATTCAGCGAACGGATGCCGTGTCAGGCTCGGGTTCGTTATAAGGGGGCTAGACTCTGTGTGTGTGTATATATATATATATATATATATATATATATATATATATATATATATACATACATACATACATACATACATACATACATACATACATACATACATACATACATACAGTCGAGCCCACATATAACGGCCCCACTTAAAACGAACTTTCGCTTAGAACGAACAATATCCATGTGACAGTGAAAATATACATTGGTTCAATGGCACAAAATCGCACTTACAACGAACGTCTCCGAGCGCCGCTGATCGGTTACTGCGAACGGAGTCAGCGATCTGGCGACTTCCCGGGAAACCACTTTGGATCACCGATCAGGCATCGGCGAGGTGCCCATACATTTTTATTGTTAAACTCCGACCCTGCCTCCACGACCCTCTAGTTGCCGCTCTCCCCGACCCATAGAGGAAGGAAAGCTGTTTCCTTCCTCCATGCCCGGACCGCTTTTTGTTATGCCTCCCTCCGTGCTTTGGCCCCCCCCCCCCCCCCCCCTCTGCTATTCTGAGCACACCGCATTGCCAGACGGGGCCCGTGTTTTCACACTGCCACCGATCTTTCCAAGATGGGTCGGCCATCTCCCCTGCTTTTGATCGCTGGTACTGTCGTTGGCGTCGCCGGCCTGGAGTGACCAGACCATTTGCCTACATTGTCGGCCACCGATTGTATCCGATAGTCTGCGTCTAGTGCACGCGCGAACGCTACCCCACCGACTCTGATAATTCGCGATTCTTTTCATGTTTAGGACTTGATCTCGGCTCAGCAGCCTTCCGCGCGAGTGCGGAAGCGCGAAAACGGCTTTTAATTTGCGCGGAAATATAGAAGTTCGTGAGGCCACGCAAACCCGCCGGCGCAACGAATCGATTTTTTGACCACGCCCGCTGATTCTTCGAACACCGCCGTGCACACCGAACCAGGTGGCCTGCTTTGACTTCTGCGCTCGTAGGCACTCTTTCCAAGTTTTTTTACGGGCAAGTTTCGCAGACCTTTCAAGCAAGCTACCCAACTTGCCTCCTTCCCGTGTGTTTTGGTTTTCAAGGTCGCCCTCTTGCCGCATCCTCCCCTCTCTTTATCGCAACTCCTTGCTATTCTCTCGCAAATCTGCTCTCCTCTTTTCATCACCACCCCTTCGTTCACGGAGGAAGGAAATGCCTTCGCCGGTCTCCACAGCTCCGCGACGCCCGCCACGCTGGCTCGAATTAGTTTCGTTTTCTGACTGGAAACGGGCCCAGAGCTGTTCCACGCGTTCTGGCATGTGTGTCGCGTGTGCGCGTTTTGCTTGCTCTTGGGGTGCATGTGTGGTCATAATGGCCGACGAGAGGACTAGCACGCTTTTTCCTGCGACTCAACAAAACGTTGAAAGTGTGACCGCTTGGCTTGAGTGTAATCCGCGCGTTAGGTGCCACGTTGCGGAGCGCTTGCTCATAGCTATTGACCACCTGGCAGCCAACTTGCTGTTTCGGGCGTCCCGGTATTCAGCTGTGGAGATGGTGAATATTTCGTGAGCGACGGGGACGGCTACACGCGCGCGAAACTGTTTTCGCGAGGCCGACTTCGTCGACGTCGGGCCCGACGCCGAGCCTGAAGCTTTTGAACAGGACCACTGCGGCGGCGATGTGTGGCAGCGCGTAGTCGACTTCGACCTGAAAGAGCGGGTCTGACATCTGTTGCGATGGTTTAATTACAGCCAATGATGATGCCGACACTGCGGAACCGTGCACGGATTGGGGCATTGTGAATGAAGTATGTGGTGAGAGCGATTTGGAGGAATCGAACAGCGAGAATGACGAAACTTTGGAGCCAGTGCCTCATGCAG